GTTGACCTTGGGTATCTGAAACCGTGGGAAGCAAGTCCATGGGTAAGGAATAGACTACCGCAGAGTTTCCACCTTGGGACTCAAGACGGCTGTTCCAACTCCTGTCATCACAACTGTCTTCCAGCCAGGAGGAAGGAGGAAGAGGGGGGTGAGGACTGCTCCAGTGCCAGCCCTCGTACCATGAGCAGGGAGGGAAGAATGGGTACCGGAGTACAGCTAGACAGATGGAGAGGTACCTGATGCTGGAGCTGCCCTACTGTCCCGCAGCAGCAACAAAACCACACACACACACACACACACACACACACACACACACACACACACACAAACCAAAAAGCAAAGCAAGCAAGCAAACACCACCCCCCCCCACCCCATTTCCTGAAAACAGCCATCTTACTCATAGCCCTTCATTGCTCGAAGCTCCTCTGTGGCTCCCCAGTACCCTCTGAGCTGCAGACAAGCAAGCTTTGCAGCCTGGTCTTTCCTCCACAATCTAGATTCCTTTTCTAGGGCTGCAGCCTCTCTTCCATCTCCCCTGTAACCTCATCTCAAAATCAGGCTGCCCCCTCCTCCCCACCCCAGAGGCATTCCTGCTTCCTACATTTTTTGCCTAGCTCATCTCACAGGTGGACTCTCCCTTCCCAGCCAGTGGTGCCCTGCCTTCCCGCGGAAGCCTCCTCTGCCCTCTCCAGGATGCCCCCAGGATCTTTGCCCAGGGTCCTGGCAGGCAGCATCACCAGCTCTCCTTTGGTGTCTTTCTTCTTCCACTTCTCCAGTCCCTTCTTGCCCACGCTGCTCCTCCATCCCTTACCCTCTTCTTTTCTCTGGATTTCAGGGGGCCATCAGTGTGAGGTGTGTCAGGTTTCTGAGGCAGCTTAAAGGGACAGGAGGCAGAAAAGAGACTGGACACTGACCTCAAAAGACTGAACGTTTATTTCAAACACCGAGGGGCTGGCACAGCAGGAAAGGGTGTCTACCAAAGCGAGAGGGGATGCTTCGAGTTTTTATAGGAGGTTTGGAGAATGGGAAGTTAATGCACCTGCAGGCAGCTATGTGCCAGTCCGCAGTGTCTCCCTCCTGGAATTGTTTGTCCAGACAAAGCCGTTTTATCTTCAGAAGCTGCCTTGCCCCAGCTGTCAGGGTGCGGGTCACAGGGGGAGATTGAGTTTGGCAATGGCAGTCATGGGGAAGGGGCTGGAGTTTCAACATAGGGCCCTGGTCAGGATCTAATAGAATCTGTTCAAGGGTTATTCTCACAAGGTGTACAGACAAACAGAATGCTTGTTTTACTTCCTGTGGCCAGGTAGCAAATGACTCCACTATCCAGTAACTTCAGACAAGGCTCACTCTGAGGGTAGAGGATGTAGCTCCGTTGGTAGAGTGCTTGTCTCGAATGCACGAATGGGTCTGATTCACAGTATTGTGTAAAATACGTAAGTTTTCCAAGCACTTAGGGTGCCCAGTCAGCATTGTACAAACCAAGCCTGATGGTGTAAGCCTGTAATTCCAGACCTTGGATGGGGTGGAGTCAGGAAAAGCAGAAGTTCAAGGTCATCCTTCAGCTGCACAGGGAATCTGAGCCAGGCTGGGTTACAAGAGACCCTGTTTCAAAATAAAAAAGTGTTGGAGGTGGAGGGAGGGAGAAAGAGCTGGAGAGAGAGGTAGAGAGGAAGCGAGGGAGTGCAGGAGGGACTGAGAGAGACCTTTGGTGGGTGCCTTGAAGTATCTACCCTTGGGGAGATCAGAGAACCAGTGGGCGAATCCTCTCAGCACCTGGGACAGCACCCAGTGCCTATCAGTTTCTTTTTGACGCCATCAACCTTGGCAAAGGGTGCACAGCCAAACCCGCAGTCCACAAAGACATTCCATGCACCTTGGGTGTGTCTGGGAATCGGGTAGGAGGCCTTCAACAGCAGGAGTGTGCTTACATCTTTTTCTTTGTAATAACCACTGTCCTAGCCAGCCATGTTCCGGGTCTCGCTGTGGACCAGGTTCTGTGAACACAAATGACAGTGTCTTTCGAAATTGCATGGTCGGAGCTGGCAAACTGTGGCCCACCGCTCGTGTTCTAAATGAAGCTTTTATTGCAACACAGCTGTGCTGGCTTGTTTGCGTATCGTCTGTGGCTGTTTCCCGATACTGTGGCGGAGTGGCTGGACTCTTGGGGCAGTTGAGAGGACTAATTGGCCTTCTCAGTAAGAATTTGACCTAGCAGTAGAGATGATATTAGGCTGTGTGCACTCAAGGTTAACCTCAGCTATGTGGTGAGTTAGAGACCTGCCTGAGCTACAAGAAGTTCTGTTTCAAAACAAACAAACAAACAAGCAAACAAGCCACCATTGTGGCTTTCCCCACAGCCTACTTTTTCACCCCCTGACTTAGTTAGAGGTGCTATTGCTGTGATGAAACACCATGACCAAAACATGTTGGGGAGGAAAGGGTTTATTTGGCTTACTCTTCCACATCACACTATTCATCCTCGAAGGAAGTCAGGACAGGAACTCAAACAGGGCAGGAACCTGGAGGCAGGAGCTGATGCAGAGGCCATGGAGGAGTGCTGCTTACTGGCTTGCCCTCAACATTTTTATCTTCAAAGCTCTTACAGAACAGACCACTAGCCAGGTGGTGGTGGTGGTGGCAGCGGCGGCGGCGCACGCCTTTAATCCCAGCACTCAGGAGGCAGAGGCAGGTGGATCTCTGTGAGTTTGAGGCCAGCCTGGGCTACCAAGTGAGTCCCAGGAAAGGCACAAAGTTACACAGAGAAACCCTGTCTCGAAAAACCAAAAAAAACCCAAAAAAACAAAACAAAACAAAAACCAAAAAAAAAAAAAAAACAAAAAAAAAAAAAAACAAAACAGAACAGACCACTAAGGTCTCAGCACTCAAAGGCTTTTCTAGCCCAGAGTGCCAAGGTACTTTCACATGGAAACACATGGCCAGGTCTGTCACAAAAATCTTCTACTCCAGGTGCCGACTTTCTAATCATGCTCTTTCCAAGTCCATTGCTTCACTGGCATTGGAGCCTACTTCTTCCGGATTCTGGTGTCTACTGAAGGCCAGCCTCATGGACTGAACAACTATTGGATTCTTTTTTTTTTCTTTTTTTTTTTTAACATTTATTTTTTATTTGATGTATATGGTGTACTATCTAGATGTACAAATGCATGCCAGAAGAGGGCATCAGATCCAATTATAGATGGCTGTGAGCCACCATGTGGTTGCTGGGAATTGAACTCAGGGCCTCTGGAAGAGCTGCCAATGCTCTTAACCGCTGAGCCATCTCTCCAGACCCCGGATTCTTTGACCATTGGTAGACAGCCATTGTTGGACTAGCTGGCCCACAGCCTGTCAGTCATTCTAATAAATCCATTCCTTCCCAACTTGCTTTTGGTCGTCATATGTTTCATCATAGCAATAGTAACCCTGTAGGACATCCCCTCACATTGGTGGTAAATGAAGGGACTCAGATATTTTAAAAGCACTCCTTTTAAATTAAACATTTATTTATTTTATGTGAGTGAATGTTGTACCTGCTTATATGTCTGTGTGCCATTTTTTTTTTTTTGTGTGTGTGTGTAGTGCCCATAAAGGTGAAGAGTGTTCCTGGTCCTTTGGAACTGGAGTTAAATATGGCTGTGAGCTGCCATGCTGGGTGCTGGGAACTGAACCTGGGTCCTCTGCAAGAGCAGCAAGTGCTCTTAACCATTGAGTCATCCCTCCAGGAGAATGACCTGTTACAGTTACGGCCAGGACTGAATTCAGGTGTACCTGTGTTGGGAACACAAGAGGCACTAGATCATTGTTGCAAGGAGTTGTGAGTGAGTACTCACAAACTCGCATGAAGGCTGGCGGTTGTTTTTTTTTTTTGGAATGACCAGTCATCCCCTAAGCGTGACTTCTTACAAAGGGAATGTCTGGGTCAACTGTATGTATGGAGGATCACATGACTAGGCTTTCAGGAACACCAGGTAAGGGACACTCCCGCCAACAGGGAGTTCCCTCTGATTCTTGCCACGACTGAATATTTACCATAATTTTCAACGTTGCCAATCCGATAATCGAAAAGTATTATCTCATTGTCACCTTCACGAGGACAAACGAGATGTCAAGTGTGCTGGGAAATTTTCTACCACAGGATGCGTTCCTCCACAACCTATACTTTCGCCCTAACTTTCTTTCCTTCTGTCTGTCTGTCTTCCTCCGTGCTCCTCCTTCTAGACACCAAAGTTCCAGTATGTTTTAAACATTTATTTGTTTATTTATCTATTTTTTGGTGTGCATGTGTGTGGGCACATACATGCCGTGGTGTGAGGCCACAGGACAACAGTTGGGAGTCGGTTTTATCTTTCCACCATGCGCGTTCTAGGGATGAAACACAAGTTGTAAATCTTGTGTGACAAGTTCCTTTACCCCATGAGCCATCCTGCCGGGCTCAGCATGTCATTTTAAAGCCAATATCCTTTTTCTTCAGATCCAGGGGTCCAGGTCCCAGCCTCCCGCCTCAGACCCAGGAGACCACACCCACACGTCCTTTCTTAGACACGAGTCCAGACCCCACCCTCCTCCCTCAGACTCAGGAGTCCAGCCCCATATTTCCTCCTTTCCCCACAAGACGTATGCAGAAAGTACTGTTGTTAAATATTATGTAGAGGAGGAGGCTCATGGTTCATTCTCCGGGGGCTCGCTGTCTGGAAATAAATGGTAATGGTTGGTTATTCTGGAATTCTTGTAGATCAGGCTGGCCTCGAACTCGGAGATCCACCTGCCTCTCTGTCTCTGGAGTGCTGGGAGTAGTTCCCAGCTGTTAAAAAAGCAAACAAAAAACCCCCAAACAACAAACAAACACAAAACCCGACCCCAGGACGCCTTTGGATTGGTTGAGCGTGACGACATCTGCTGGCACGCCCGTCAGCCTCGGCTCCGCCCCATCTCCTGAAACTACGATTCCCAGCATTAAGTGCGCCGGGGGCCTGTCTCCCCAAGGAGCCCCGCCCCCGCACTTGGCCACGCCCCGGGCCGTGTTGTAGTGGCCGCGTCCTTCCACTTCCCCGCACGTGGGTTCCTGAGCACCCGCGTTGGAGCGGCCAGGAGTGCAGATCCACCCACACGCTGTTCCCCAGGCTGGAATGAACCGCTTTCTGCTGCCCGTGTCCGTAGTGGGCACGGTGATCGGCGGCACCGTGCTGCTCAAGTGAGTCTGTGCGCGTCTCCGTGCGCGCTTGGCGGTAGGCCTGCGGCAGGGGACTGCCGAACAAAGCCAGAGAAGGGTCCTTTATCCTCAGTCCTTACTCCTGGGTTCTCCCCGTTTACCCACCAGCACCGCCTTTCCCGACCGAGCAGGAGGGCGCGTCACCTCCCCAAGGTCACCTAGGGAGAAGGGGTGAGGCCCGGACCTTGTGCACTTTTTGGTCTGCACCACCATTTACTTTTCCTCCTCCTTCCTTCCTTATTCACTCTTCCTGCCTGCCTTCTCTTTCCTCTTTTCTTCCCTTCCTCTCCCCTCCCTTCTTTCCTTCCGTGCGTTTTTGAGACAGGGTGTCATTATGCAGCCCTGGCTGGCCTAGAACTCCTTATGTAGACCAGGCTGACCGAATTCACAGAGATCCACCTGCCTCCGCCTTCCGAAGTGCTGGGATCAAAGGCATGTGTCACCACGCACAGCCTACATTTATTTTTTTTCTTGCATGTATGATTTCTGAGATTAGGAGAGGGTGTCAGATACCCTGGAACTGGAGTTATGGATGGTTGTGAGCCGCTATGTGGGTGCTGGGAACTGAACCCAGAGCTCTTACTGCTGAGACATCTCTCCAGCCCTATGCTGTATATAATTTGATCGTATCTGCTGCCCACTCATGTTCTTCAACTCCCTGGACCCCTTCTGACACATCCTCCTTCCAACTTCATGTCCTTTATTTCATTTATTTATTTTGAGACAGGGTATCATGTAACCTAGGCTGGCCTTGAACTTGCTGTGTAGTTGAGGATGACCTTGAACTCCTGATTCTCCTGCCACTGCCTCTCAAGTGCTGGGTTTGCAGGTGTGCACCACCATGTCTGGCTGTAGTCTTTTTGTTTTGTTGTGTTTTTCAAGACAGGGTTTCCCTGTGTAGTCCTGGCTGTCCAGGAACTCACTCTGTAGACCAGGCTGGCACTGAACTCACTGAGATCCTCCTGCCTCTGCCTCCCGAGTGCTGGGATTAAAGGTGTGGGCCACTACTGCTGTCCCCAGTCTTTTGTTTTTTTTTGTAAAAAATAGAAATGAATGATGGCCACCTCACAGAGACTTCCCAAGTGTAGTCCTTTGCTGAGACCAGGCAGGGACACCAGGTGTTTTGGTGCTTTGGTGTGCTCAGAAGGGTGGTTGACCCCAGATCATAAATCCAGACATGAGGCAGACAGAATTCACTCAGCTGTTTCTTACCCTCAGGGACTATGTTACTGGTGGGGCTTGTCCCAGCAAGGCCACCATACCTGGGAAGACTGTCATCGTGACAGGAGCCAACACGGGTATCGGCAAACAAACTGCTTTGGAACTGGCTAAAAGAGGTAAGAGCACCACCTCCTTTGGGGTTTTGAAGAGATTCGTGCACACCGGTGTGCATGGCAGCCTTGTTTAAAATAGCTCAAGGGACGGAAGCATTCCAGGTGTCCATTTGCAGACAGACAGAATGTGGTCGGTCCTTCCGTACATTGGAATACTACCAAGCTTTCAAAAGGAAAGGGATTTGGACATACTCCTGTGCGATGATTCTAGAGGTTGTCGTGCTAAGTGAAAAAAGCCAGGCACACACAAAAGACTCCTGTAGAATTTTGCTTATTAGAGTAGTTTTTTTAAAAAAAAAATCTGTTTTTATTATGTAATGTGTGTATGTTGGGGTGGGGTGGGGTTTGAGCTTTGCCACCCTGTGTGTGTGTGTGTGTGTGTGTTTCAGAGGACAACTATGGAAGCTGGTTTCTGCCTTCCATTATGTTCGTCCTGGGGATTGATCTCTGGTCCTCAGACTTAGCTGCACCTGCCTTTACCTGTTGGGCTAGTCTCCAGCCCCCATATTTGTATATCTTGATAAGTTTGCTTAATTCTCTCTCTGTGTATGTGTGCGTGTGTGCGTGTGTGCACATGCTTGTGGAGGACAGCAGACAACCTCTGCTGGTGTGTCTCAGAATCTCAGAACAGTATTACTAAGCTCACTGCATATTCCCATACATTCCCCAAGTGTTCCCATCTTCCCACATGTTCTTAGAATACTTCATGACCCTGAAGATACCTTCATCTTTCATTCATCGCCCACTACACCCTGATCCTCCCCGCACCCCACCGATACCCCAGCCCCGGGAAACCTGTGTCTGCTCTCTGTTTCTGGATTTGCCTGTTCTGGACATGTCATATAAACGGAAGCGTGTATGAATTTTGCGTCTGACTTACTGAGTGTAGTGGTTTCAAGGTCCATTCACTGTGTCGTGTGTCCGTGTGTTATTCCCTTTTATAGCCGAATAGTATGCTATTGCATGGATAGACTACAGTTGGCTTATCTATTGATTACTGATGGACGATTGCTAGTGTGTGTGTGTGTGTGTGTGTGTGTGTGTGTGTGTGTGTGTGTGTGTTGGGGATTGTGGGCCTCTTATTTGCTAGTCAGATGCTCTACCACTGAGCCCCACCCCCCGCCCTGTACTGGTAGATTTTAGCAGGTGCTTTACTGCTGAATTACATCCTCAGCCCTGATTTTTACTTTTTGAGACAGGTTCTTACTAAATTTCCCAGGTGGGTGTTGAACTCACTGTAGCCTAGGCAGACCTTGAACTTGCAGTGCTCCTGCCTCAGCCTCCAGAGTCACTGCCGTTTCAGGCCTACACCACCAAGCCTGGTGATATTTGGGTTTCCATCTCTTGGTTATTTATTACTAAGACCTCTTGTATACAGATTTCATGTGGGTACATGCCTTTGTGTCTGTTGGGTAGATATGTAGGGGTAGGTTTGTTTCCTTTTCCTTTTCATGTTTTCTTCTCCTGGGCTTCCAGGAGGCAACATCATTCTGGCCTGTCGTGACATGGAGAAGTGTGAGGCGGCTGCGAAGGACATTCGTGGAGAGACCTTGAATCCCCGAGTACGTGCCCAGCACCTAGACTTGGCTTCCCTCAAGTCCATCCGAGAGTTTGCCAGGAAGATCATCAAAGGTAGGCAGGAGGACACTGACTTTTCCAGCCCAGGTTTGGAGCTTCCTGTCAGTTCTCTGAGGAACCTGAAGCCAGTGAGTTCTGGAGAAGAGGCTGGCCAACGTGGTCTGCTGGCTGAACTCAGCTGCCACCTGTTTTTTTATCGTTTCCGTAAGATCAGCTGTGCCTACTCATGAGCGTCCAGCATGACCTGGCTTGTGGACTGTTGGCATTCCCTCAGAGTAGGAGGGGGTAGTGGTTTGGATGAGAATGGTCTCCATAGGCTCTTATGCTTGAATGCTTGGTCTCCAGCTGGTGGAACTGTTTGGGAAGGATTAGGAGGCGTGGCCTTGTTGAAGGAGGTGTGTTACTAAGGGTGGGCTTTGAGATCTCAAAAGCCCGCACCGTTCCCAGTTAGCTCTCGCTGCTGCCTCGTGGTTTTAGGTCAGATGTGAGCTCTCAGTGGCTACCCTAGCACCATGGCTGCCTGTCTGCTGCCATGCTCCCCACCATGATGGTCATGGACTCTAACCCTTTGAAACTGTGAGCCTCAGATAAACTCTTTCCTCTGTAGTTGCCTTGCTCATGGTGTCTTATCACAGCAACAGAAAAGTAACTGAGACAGAGGGGTTGGGAAAGGTCGCTGGCCCCTCATCGGAGTGTCTAGACTCCCAGCCATTTGTATAGAGTTTTTCTCTGAATTGCACATGGTCTCTGGGATCTCAGGAAGGGACTAATATGTATTGGCTGGGGATGGTTAACTGAGAGGGGCTCCATCTGTGTGGCCATGGACACAGACCTTCCATGCGGCTTTGGGGTCACCTGTGCTCTTGCCTACATCCCCTTACCTATGGCCTATAAGTAACCCAATAAACTAACGGGTTTCCCAGGGTGAACGTAGTGGAATGGAATTTTGGTTTGCCGTTGGGACCTTAATAATATTATTATTTTATCTTAAAGATTTCTTATTTTTCTTTGTGTGTATGTGTGAGTGCCCTCAGACACCAGAAGAGGGTGTTGGATCCTCTCCAGCTGGAATTACAGATGGTGCTGAGCCTCTCTTTGTGGGTGCTGGGAACCGAACTTGGGTCCTCTGGAAGAGTATCAAGTACGTGTAACCACTGAGCCGTCTCTCCAGCTCTGCCACTGAGCCACACCCCAGCCCCTCACTGGGGGATTCTAGTAGCTGCTCTACCACTGAGCCACACCCCCCAGCCCCTCACTGGGGGATTCTAGGCAGGGGCTCTGCCACTGAGCCACACCCCAGCCCCTCACTGGGGGATTCTAGTAGCTGCTCTACCACTGAGCCATACCCCCCGGCCCTCACTGGGGGATTCTAGGCAGGGGCTCTACCACTGAGCCACATCCCCAGCCCCTCACTGGGGGATTCTAGGCAGGGGCTCTGCCACTGAGCCACACCCCAGCCCCTCACTGGGGGATTCTAGGCAGGGGCTCTGCCACTGAGCCACACCCCCAGCCCCTCACTGGGGGATTCTAGGCAGGGGCTCTACCACTGAGCCACACCCCCAGCCCCTCACTGGGGGATTCTAGGCAGGGGCTCTGCCACTGAGCCACACCCCCAGCCCCTCACTGGGGGATTCTAGGCAGGGGCTCTACCACTGAGCCACACGCCCAGCCCCTCACTGGGGGATTCTAGGCAGGGGCTCTACCACTGAGCCACACGCCCAGCCCCTCACTGGGGGATTCTAGGCAGGGGCTCTACCACTGAGCCACACGCCCAGCCCCTCACTGGGGGATTCTAGGCAGGGGCTCTACCACTGAGCCACACCCCAGCCCCTCACTGGGGGATTCTGGGCAGGTGCTCTACTCCTGAGCTCCGTTCTCACTCGCCTCCACCATATCTATTTAGGAGTTCAACTCAGAGCAGATCCTGACTGTGCGGGCTGATGGATGGACCAAGTGGTGGGGATGTGTTGCAGTGATTAGAAACACAGCATCCGTGATGTTGGAGCACAGGAGTCGAAGGGAGGACCAAGAGTCAGATCCGGGGAGTGGGGCACAGTGCTGCAGTGTAGCACTGTGCAAGACCAGCAGCGGAGTGCAGTAGTGCTTACTTCAGAATCCCGTCTGAAGCTCGAGTGGAGAAGGGCAGGACGCTGACTCATCACTGCGCCCGGTTTTCTGGTGATGCTCAGGACACGGATGAGTCAGAAGGGCCCTAGGTGTCAGGTCATGGGTGACCCGTGTGCTGCTGGAGGGCAGTGCCTGGAGCTCTTTTTTCGTTGAGTGCCCTTTGATGATCCCAGGGCTCAGCTGGCAAATTCTGTGCTTCTGTCACACCGAGGGCCGACTCACCCCCTTGTTTCCTTCCAGGTAATGTGAAAACTGTCACGTGTCAGTGTTTTGAATGGAAGTATAGCTTGAAGCAACTGTCAGGGGGTGCAAAACGTGTTCAGCATGCTAGATTCCTTTATTTGTCTGTCTGTCTGTCTGTCTATCTATCTATCTATTTTTTGGTTTTTCGAGACAGGGTTTCTCTGTGTAGTTTTGGTGCCTGTCTTGGATCTTGCTCTGTAGACCAGGCTAGCCTCAAAATCATAGAGATCCACCTGGCTCTGCCTCCCGAGTGCTGGGATTAAAGGCGTGCGCCACCACCGCCCAGCCTCCTTCATTTATTTTTTTTTTTAAATTATTTATGTGTATGAGTATTTTTCTTACTTGCTTGTATGTGCATCACATGTGTGCAGTGCTTACAGAGGCCAAAATTGAGCATGGGGTCCTCTGTAACGAGAGTTACAGATGGCTGTGAGCCACCATATGGGAGCTCAGAATCCAATCCAGGTCCTTTGGAAGAGCAGCCAGTGCTCTTAACCTCTGAGCCATCTCCCCAGCTCTTTGTTAACTTTTTTTTTTTCTGGTTAGTTTGTTTTTGTTTTGGAGACAGGGTCTCTCTGTGTAGCTCTGGCTGTCCTGGAACTTACTTTGTAGACCAGGCTAGCCTCAGACTCACAGAGATCCGCCTGCCTCTACCTCCCTAGTGCTGGGATTAAAGATTTGTGCCACCCTCCCCCCCAACCAGGCTCTTGTTAATTTTTAAATTACATTTAATCTATCTGTTGTTAATCTGTCATCCATCTCTCTCTTTGTCTGTCTGTCATCTGTATCAATCTGTCCAGCATGTGTGGGTGCAGGTGTACCATAGCACACATATGGAGGTCAGAGTACAACTTGCAGGAGCAGTGGGTTCTCATGTGGGTCCTGGGGGTCAAACGCCGGCTGCCTGGCTTGGCAGCAGGCTCCTTGAGCCGTGTCAGTGACCCTAGCTTCTTGTGGCGGGAACCAGAATCGAGTATTACCTTCAAGTGACCCGCTTCAAGTGACCTGCCTTCAGTGACCCACTTCAGCTAGCTGGGCCATGGTACCAAAGCTTCTGTAAGCTCCTGAAACAGGAATACCAGCTGGAGATAAGTGTTCAGACATATGGGCTTCTAGTGTGTGCGTGTGTGTGTGTGTGTGTGTGTGTGTGTGTGTGTGTGTGTGTGTGTGCGCGCGTGTGTGTGGAGGTCAGAGGAGTCCGTTCTCTGTTTCCATCATGTGGGTTTTGGGGCTTGACCTCAGGGTATCAGGCTTGGCAGCAAGTGCCTTTACCTGCTCAGCCGTCTCCCGTGCCCCTTTTTGAAATTTTGAGACCAGCTCTCTGAACTGCCCTGCCCTTGAACTTGTATTCCTGTTCTGCCTCCGTGTCCTGAGTAGCTGGGATTCCTACTCTATCCAAACACTTCTGGCTTTTTTCTTCGGACAGGTGTTTTACGTTATTTATTGTATTTGTTTGTGTGTGGGCGTGTGTGTGCCTGGGCACCAGCAAGCAGCGCCTTTGCCCCCGGAACCATTTCTCCAGCCCATTTCTTCCCTGCGCTGCTACCTCTGTTGAGTTCCTTTCTTTTTAATTATTTCTAATTGTGTGTGTGTCTGTGGGTATGTGAACGTGAGTGAACTGGCTCCCCCTGTCGCTGGGGTTGCAGGAGATGGTGAGCTGCCTGATGTGGGTGTTGGGAATCCAGTCAAACATGTGTCTTCTGCCAGAGCGGGATGTGCTCTCAGCCACCAAGCCATCTCCAGCCCAAGAGAGTTCCTTTTTGTTTTTCTTTCTTTTAATAAAACCACTTATTAGCCCGAGAAACCTCCCGTGGTTAGAAGTTACTGATGAAGTAGGAGAGGCCTCTTTTGAGTGTATTTGGTTTTCAGTCTTGCTGTTTCAGGAAGGCAGTGACCTTGACTTTCCTCTCCACCCAGTATTTCCAGCACTCAATCATAGGTGCTTAGAAAATACTTGCTGATTGAATAGTAATTACATGTTTCTAATAGGCAGGTACTATTATCTTTTTTAATGAAGGAAGAAACTGAGTCACAGGGAAGCTATGTCAACTGGCCAGTGTCAAAAATCTGGTCAGGTTTTTATTTTTTGAGACAGTCTCACTCTGTAGCCCAGGCTAGCCAAGACTTTAGGCAGGAGCCACCATGTCAGGCTTCAAGTCTAAGATTTGAACTCCTGTCTGCCTGGTTCCAGATCTGATCTGTCCCCGCCCCCTCCCCGACTCCAGCCCTGGGAATCAAACCTGGGACTTTGTAGACGTGTGGTGGTTGGTTCTCTACGTGTCGGGTTTTAGAATTATCCAGGAGATAAACTTCTGGGCATGTCTCTGAGGGAGTTTCTAGATTAGATTCATTGGGGTAGACCCCCCCTACCTGTGGGCAGCATCATCCCATGGACTGAGTAAAAAGGAGACGCGATTTGGGCATTTTATCTCTGCGTTGGGATTAAAGGTGTGTGCCTCCAGGCCCAGCAATGGTTTATCCTATTTTCTACTAACTTCTTTATTTTTGGTTACATATATTAGTGTGTGTCTGTTTGCACATGTGGGTGCAGGTGCCCGCAGAGACCTAGAGGGGGCGATGAATGCCCCGGGGCTGGAGCTACCAGGTGGTTGTGACTCCTGATGCAGGTGCTGGGAACTGAAGCCCAGTCCTCTGCAAGAGCAGTGTATGCTCTTAACCTCTGAGCCATCTCTCCAGCCCTGGGTCAAGGTTTTGCTTTATTACCCTGGCTGGCCTTGAACTTGTCATCCTCCTGCCTCAGCCTCCCCAGTAGCTTGCTCTGCTGCTCCAGCCGTGGCTTGGAGCTTGTGTTCTTCATTGGTGTCCTACATCCCAATCCCCCACGGAGTGAAGAGTGAGAGGCTGGTCCACGTCTCTCAGGCGCTAGACACCCAGTTCCTTATCCCCCCTGAAAATATCTTGGAAGTGTTATGGATTCAGCTACGTCTCTGTGTGGGAGACTCCTGGGGGTCTCAGCAGGTGATCTTGTTTGGAGGTAGGCCCTTTGTAGAGATTATCAAGTTGAAGTGAGGTCATCAGGATAGGTCCTACCTAGGTCAGTATCCCTGGTGTTGGCATCATGGGAAACTGGGACACAGAGGGCTGTGCACAGAGGGAAGATGATGTGAAGAATTATAGGGAGGAGTTGGCCATCTGCTAGCCAAGGTTGGGGGCAGGTTCTCTTCCTTAGCTCCAGCTGGACCAGCGCTTGCTTAGGTCCTCATCCTGTGTCTTCGCCATCCGTTTCTCATTTTTTTTCTTTTCTTTTCTTTTCTTTTTTGTTTTTTCGAGACAGGGTTTCTCTGTGTAGCTTTGCGCCTTTCCTGGAACTCGCTTTGGAGACCAGGCTGGCCTCGAACTCACAGAGATCCGCCTGGCTCTGCCTCCCGAGTGCTGGGATTAAAGGCGTGCGCCACCACCGCCCGGCAAAGATTTATTTATTTATTTCATGTATATGAGTGCTCTATTGACTTTATTCCAGAAGAAGGCATCAGATCCCACTATAGATGGTTGAACCACCATGTGGGTGCTGGGAATTGAACTCAGGACCTCTGGAAGAGCAGCCAGTGCTCTTAACTGCTGAGCCATCTCTCCAGCCCCATTTCTCATTTTTTAAAGATTTATTTATTTTAATTTTATGCGTATGAGTATTTTGCCTGCATGTATGTAGTACCATGTTCAGGTCTGGTGCCCAAGGATGCCAGAAGAAGGCCTTGGATCCCTTAGAACTGCAGATGTGGACAGTTGTGAGCCACTGTCCTAGTTAGGGTTTCTGTTCTGTGACGAAGCACCATGGTCAAAAGCAAGTTGTGGAGGAAAGGGTTTATTTGGCTTACTCTTTCATAGCACAGTCCATCACTGAAGGAAGTCAGGACAGGGACTTAAGCAGGGCTGGAACCTGGAGGCAGGAGCTGATGCAGAGGCCTTAGAGGAGTGCTGCTTACTGGCTTGCTCAGCCTGCTTTCTCACAGAACCCAGGACCACCAGCCCAGGGACGGCACCACCCACCATGGGCTGGGCCCTCCCCATCAATCACTAATTAAGAAAATGCCCTACAAATTAGCCTGCAGCTTGACCCTCTGGAGGCATTTCCTTAACTGACGATTCCACCTCTCAGATGACTCTAGCTTGAGTCAAGTCGGCATAAAACTACCCAGGGCAGCCACCATATGGGTTCTGGGACCTGAACCCAGGTCCTCTTCAAAATCAGCAGGTGGTTTTAACCACAGAGCCCTTTCTCCAGCCCCAGTGTCTGTTGTTTGAGTTGCTTGGCTTGTAGCATTTTGTGATGTCAGCCAGAGCAGAAGCCTGGGGTTCTCTTTAAGAACAACATGTACTCTTAACCGCAGAGCCATCTTTCCAGTTCCTATTCGTTTATGTTTTTTTGAGACCAGGTGTCTAGCCCAGGTTGTCTTTGAACTCCCCTGTAGCCTGAGGATGGCCTCAACCTTCTGAAGCTCTTACCTCCTCCTGAGTGCTTGGAGTACAGGTGTTGCCACCACACCTGCTTTACGTGGTACTGGGGATGGAAGCCAGGGTCTGGTGCATGCTGGACAAACGCTACCACCTGAGCTATATCCACAGCCCCGGGGACCTCACTTAAACCAGATCACCTCTGTGACGATCTTACCGCCGGTTAAGGTTGTGTGTTGAGCTACTCGGGATCAGGCTCAGTACGTGGCTGTGGGACTGTGAGGTAGAGGCTGCTCACGTCATGGCCGGCCAGTAAGCAAGTGGGGCTAGAGCCCAGGATACTCTGGTGATTTCCAAGACCCGTCCCCAGCAACCAGCTTCTGCCAGTCAGTGCCCATCACTCTAGTCTCTACAAAGATCCTGTTTCCCAAAGTATCCACCCTCACAGGGGCCAGGGAGACAGGAATGCGTATGGGACACTGTCCTACCCTCAGGCCGGGGTGGAGTCTGTCCTCAGCCCTGATGTGTCTGTCCTTACCGTGTCTTCCAGAGGAGGAGCGAGTGGACATTCTGGTGAACAACGCAGCCGTGATGCGGTGCCCGCACTGGACCACGGAGGATGGCTTTGAGATGCAGTTTGGTGTCAACCACCTGGGTGAGGTCTGGGCTGAGGGCTTGATGGTTTCCATGGGATGAGAGTGGGTTCTGGGTGGGGAGTCACCCACTCTGGGGGGTGGAGTCGTGCTCCATTCCTTTAAAACTTATTAATGTCTGTGTCTGTCCCATGGGCTGGGTGAGTCTTCATTTTTTTCCTTCTATTACTTTTTTAGGTCGTCATATAAGGGATGGTATTTTCATACTATGTCTTCACACCTTGCTCTCACTTGTTTCTCTCACCCACTGCTCATCCTCCACCCTTTCTTCCTTCAGTCAGTCCTCTTTCAAAGCTTTATTTTTGAGGCTGTGCTAAGACACCCTGGCAGGAAAGCAGCTGAGGGAGACAGGGCTTATCTGGCCCCATCACTTCGGGAAGTCAAGGCCACCGGGGCTTGATGAGGCTGCTCACGTCACATCCGAGGTCAAGAGCGGAGCGATGCATGTGCACCATCCTCTCTCCGGGTAGATCTTCCCGCATCAGTGATCATAATCAAGATACCCGCCTACAGACCTGGCTACAGACGGCGTGACCCAGGCAGCTCCTCTCTGGGGCTGTTTTCAGGCTGGGTTGTGCCAGATTGACAGTGAAGACGACTCTTTCTTCCCTTCTGTTTCTCTCTCTCTCTCTCTTTTTTTAAAAAAAGATTTATTTTTATTGTGTGTGTATGTATGTTGTCTGCATGTGTGTCCGTGCACCACATGCATGCCAGTGCCCTCTGAGGCCAGAGGAGGGTATCAGATACCCTAGGATAGGAGCTATGAGCAGCCTTATGGGTACTAGGAATCGATCCCGAGTCCTCTGGAAGAGCAGCCAGGGCTCTTAACTGCTGAGCCATCTCTCCAGCCCTGATTTCAGTATTCTTTATGGCCTCTTATTTCTGCATGGCATGTGTCTATCACATTTTCTTTAAATTTTTCTTTCTTCAACCAGGTGGTGGTTGAACCAGGTGCACACCTTAGTCCTCGCGCTGGGGAGACAGGCAGGTGGAATCTCTGTGAGTGCTCAGGTCAGCCTGCTTTACATAGCGAGTTCCAGACCAGCTAAGGCCATATATAGTGAGTCCCAGTCTCAAAAAAAAAATGTTTTTAACTTTGAGAATTTCATATATGCATACATGAATATGAGCATATCTACCCAACATTTCTTCTTTCCAACTCCATCCCTCTCCCCTACAACGTGCTCCCATCCCAACTTCATGTCTTTTGAAGCCCAGGCTGGCCTTGAACTTGCATCAACAGATGACTGTGAACATCTATATATGATCCTTCTTCCTCCACTTCCCAGGTACTGGGATTACAGGCATATGCCACTGTGCCTGGCCTTTTTATTTTTCTTTTTGGGTCTCAGTATCACATTTTCGTTCTCTGTTCATCTGTGATGATCATCTAGGCAGTTTCCACTCTCTGGCTGTTGGAATCAGTGCAGTGCAGATAAACATGGATGAGCAGGTGTCTCTGTGGTTGCTGACTTAGAGTCCCTTGGGTCTCTGTCCAGGAGAGTGGAGCTGGGCCATACAGCAGTGCAGCGTAGAGAAGTCCACACTGATTTCCACAGTGGCTACGCCAGTTTACGCTCCACCAGCGGTGAGCAAGGGTTCCTCCCACATGTCCGCGCCAGCATGTCCCGTCATCTGTGTCCTTGGCGATGGACATTGTGACCAGGCTGAGATGGAATCTTGGAGCAGTTCCTCTGATGGCTGAAGATACAGAGTACCTTCTCAGATATTTGACTGGCTCTGAAGTTTCAAAAGCCCACACCAGGCCCAGTGCCTCTTTCTTCCTCTGCCTGTGCATCAGGATATAATGCTTTCAGCTCCTTCTCTGGCACCATGCCTGCCTGCCACCGTGATTACCCTGGACTGACCCTCTAGAACTAGGCAAGCCCCCAGTTAAATGCTTTCTTTTGTAAGGGTTGACTTGGCCATCTTCACAGTCATTGGACAGTAACTAAGACACGGCTTGGTGCCGTGCACCTTTGACAGCTTGCTTGGCGGCTCTAGTCGTGGGAACAGCCACTAATACACCCCTGATGGAAGGGAGAAAGTCACCTTCAACCAAGCGCCCTGCTTCTGGATGTACATGGAGCAGTGAGGGAGGGTGGGGACATCTGCCTAGCCTGATGGATCAGCTGAGGTCAACCCTGGTGATTAATGGGATGACAGGGGTCACAGCCAGCTTGCCCTCACATCCAAGAGGTGTATACATTTAATCCCTGCAGAGGCAGGAGGATTGCCTGAAGTTCAAGGCTAATCAACTGAGTGAGTTCCTAGGCCCACGAGGCAGAACTACATAGTGAGACCTTGTCCCCAGAACAGAACACTTGCTGCTAAGCCTGGTGACCTGAGTTCGATCCCTGAGGCTTGTGTGGTGGAAGGAGAAAACCAGCTCCCGAAGGATGTTCTTACCTCCACATGCATGCTGTGGTACATGTGCCCACCCCTTCCCAAATAAATGTAATTGAAAAAAAAAAAATCTGAGTTCAAGGCCAGCCTGGTCTACAGAGTGAGTTCCAGGACAGCCAGGGCTACACACAGAGAAACCCTGTCTTGGAAAAAAACAAAAACAAAAACAAAAAAGAAAAACAAAGAAATATCAACTGAACATGAATCTTAAGTTTTTAAAAAAATTTTTTTATGTATTTATTTAGTATACAATGTTCTGGCATGTGTGCCTATATGCCAGAAGAAGGCACCAAACCTCATAGATAGTTGTGAGCCACCATGTGGTTGCTGGGAATTGAACTCAGGACCTCTGGAAGAGCAGTCAGTGCTCTTAACCTCTGAGCCATCTCTCCAGCCCCCGAATCTTAAGTTTTTTTTTTTCTTCTCCTCAGAAAAACAAAACAACTCCAAACAAAATAACAGAAGTGGGTGAGGATATAGAGGAAGAGGAGGATTTTACTACTGCTGGGAATGGAAAATAAAATTGTGGGGCTGGAGAGATGGCTCAGTGGTTAAGAGCACTGACTGCTCTGATGTAGGGCCTGGGTTTAATTCTGAACACTCCTATGGCCTCTCACCAACATCTGTAACTCCAGTTCCAGGGGATCCACTGCCCTCTTGTGGCCTCCGTGGGCACTGCATGCATGTTTTGTACAGATACACATGCAGACAAAACACATAAAAATATTTTTTAAAAAAGTAAAATAGAGTAGCCATTGGAGAAAAGTGTTTTCTTGTCATACTTTATCCAGGTCACTTTCTGTTGACAAACTTGCTGTTGGAGAAGCTGAAGGCCTCAGCCCCTTCACGTATCATCAACCTCTCATCCCTGGCTCACGTTGCTGGGCACATAGACTTTGATGACTTGAACTGGAAGACGAAAAAGTATGACACCAAGGCAGCCTACTGCCAGAGCAAGTTGGCTGTTGTCCTCTTCACCAAGGAGCTGAGTCGCCGGCTACAAGGTGTGCACGCTGTGATCTTTTTTGTTCTCCTTCCTTCCTCTTGGTGTCTGGAATAGTTCTATAGCCCCGAGCTGGTGCTGAAGGGGCAAGAAGTAGCTTTAGACACTGTGGTCAAAGGATGGCACCGTACCACCATGCCCCTTTCCAGTGCCGGAGGCAGACATCACTAATCAATCATGGTTCTAATGATTGCTCTTTAGTCTCAATCAGCCTGCCTTGATCAGACATATTTATCTTGGATAGCTTTCTGAGCCTCTGGTTTTCTAAGCCAGTTGTTGTGAACTTGGAGTGTTTTTGGTCCCCAGGGGACATGTGTAGTGTTTGCAGACATGCCTGTCACAACTGGATTATTGAGAGGTTGTTCCTTGCTTCTCAAAAGTTGTCTGTGGCCGACAGTTCCAGCCACCCTTGGGAGACAGTCATGATTGTAACATCTTACGTCCTACTCCAGTCCCCTGCTTCAGACTCCGGTGGGGGTGGTGGAGCTCAGAAATGTGGGTCTGTCATGTCCTCAAGCCACATGACAGAGCCACGTTGTAAGAGGATGCCACTTGAGACGGAGGTTTCTGAGCACAGAGGGTAATGTGGGTTCAAGCGTGGGGAACAGCCTAGGATAGGGACGGCTTGGAGTGTAGTGGTGGCTACAGCAGCCTTCCAGGCAAGCGGCCAACCTGGTCTTTTTTTCACTAGTCTTGTGTGTGCCTGTTTGTGTGTGTGCACATACATGCACATGGTGTGTGTGTGTAAGTCAGTGGACAATGTTGGGTGCCATCCAGTTTGTTTTTTTATTTGAGACAGCATCTCTGCTTGGCCTGGAGCTCACTCTAGGCTCGGCTGGCTTCAGTGAGTCCCCGGAATCTACCTGTCTCTGTCCTCAGCACTCACTAGGGATTGCAAGCCTGCACCACCACAGACACGCGCTTTGACCCGTGTCCTGGGCGTCAAACCCGGGACCTCCTGCTCGCGTGGCAAGCTTTTTAACAACTGAGCTAGCTTCCTGCCACTCACCAGTCTCTACTTTTCCCAGGCACAGGTGTGACTGCCAATGCTCTGCACCCCGGTGTGGCCAGGACAGAGCTGGGGAGACATACAGACATACACAACTCTGCCTTCTCCAGCTTCACACTTGGTGAGTCCCCTTCCAGGGTGGTGCCCCCTCACAGAGCCCTGTCCCTGTGCCCTCTCAGCTGGGGATCCACGACTGTCCCTCAGAGACTGTCACTTTTTGGTGATTCTGTGTCTCTCTGACTGGGTCTCACTGTATATTTCTGACTGGCTTGGAACTTGTTATGTAGACCAGGCTGGCCTTGAACTCACAGAGATCTGCTGCTTCCACCTCTTGAGTGCTGGGATTAAATAACTGCCATCATGCCTGGCAATTTTTTTCCTCTCAACATGGCCTTATATAGACGAGGCTGGACTTGAACTCATTATGTAGGTCAGGCTAGTCTTAGACTTCTGACCCCCCCCCACCTTCTGAGTGCTGGGATTATAGTGTGTGTCACCATGCCTGCCTGCTGGCTTTTCCTCTCTCTGCTCCCTCCCATGTCTTCCTGGGGTAGAAGATGAGCCATTGTTCTATGTGGTTCTGGTCTTGGGTTGACAGAAAACAGGCCAGAGCCCCATTGATAAATAAGAAAACCATCTTGGCAGAGGAGGAGTGGATGGGGGCGGGAAGAAGGGAGGTGGGAGAGGAGGAAGGGGAAACTGTGGCCGGGATGTAAAATAAATGAAAAAAAAATTTAATTAAAAAAACGCAAAACAAACAAAAACAGAAAACTGTTATAGAGGCTAAGTCTTGAGTCAGGCTGTGCTCAGCTTCGCTCAGAGCTGAGTCACCCAGGGAAACGCATCTCCCAGTTCTCATGGCATCTTACTGTGTGGACCAGGATGGCCATGGACCTGTGACCCTCCTGCCCCTGCTTCCTGAGTGCTGGGATCCCAGACACCCGCCCCACGCCCGCCGCTTTGAGTCAGTTTTCTTCTCTGCGTAGTGAGGTCCCTGGTAGGACTGCCCTCACAGTCACTGGGGAGACGAGGTGAGAGCGCCCGTAAATTGGCCTGTGCAGTGTGCCTGGCCAAGAATGTGGTTTAACCCACAGCCAGACATGAGGAGAGAGCCAAAACTGGAGGTCTCCATTGGATCCCGCCCCTTGGAGCTCAGGGAACCCTGCAGAAAAGGAGGAGGAAGAATTGTAGGAGCCAGAGGGGTCGAGGACACCAGGAGAACACGGCCCACAGAGTCAACTAAGCAGGGCTCATAGGGGCTCACAGAGACTGGACTGGCAATCACAGAGCCTTCTTGGGTTTGTGCTAGGTCCTCTTTATGTATGTTATGGTTGTTAGTTTGCTTTTTTTTTTTTTTTTTTTTTAAATAATGGGACTCCTAACAAAAGGAGTGGGAGGTGTCTCTGACCCTTGCCTGCTCTTGGGACCCTTTTCCTCCTACGGAGGTGCCATGTCCAGCCTTGATGTGAGGGCTTGTGCCTAGTCTTACTGTATCTTGTTATGTGGTGTCCAGTTGATATCCCCGGGAGGCCTGCTCTTTTCTGAAGGGAAATGGAGGAGTGGATCTGGGGGGGAGAGAGTGTGTGTGGGGGCAGCTAGGAGGAGTGCAGGGAGGGGAAACTGTGGTCAGGATGTATTGTATGAGAGAAGAATAAAAAAAAAGAAGAATGTAATCTGAGTCAGTAGATCATTATAACTGGTATTTATAATCCCTGAGAATCATGGAGTGAGCAAGTATCAAGAATTTTAACATAAGAGTACCATGAGATACATTTGGTAAACTGAGGGCTGGAGATGTAGCTCAGTTGGCAGACTGCTTGGCTAGCATGCCATGAAGCTCTGGGTTTGATCCCCAGCCTGACATAAAATCAAACATGATGGTATATGCTATCTAGTACTCGGGAGGTGGAGGCAGGAGGATAAGAAATCTAAGATCATCTTTGGCTCTATAGTGAGTTCAGAACCAGCCTGGGCTAATGTGTTCCTGTCTGAGAAGAAAGAAGATTATTTTCAGGAAGGATAGAATAGGGAAAAACGTACTTTGACTTTTCTGGGAACCTCTAGGGAGGCTTCCTGTAGGAGGCAGCTTTTGGATTCATCCCTCTGTTTGGAGGGGTTTGTAGGGATGTTGCCAGGGAAGGGACCTTTAGGTAGAGGGAGCTGCAAGGACAAAGGCCTGGAGGTGGGCTCCGTGGGACTTCAGGGCAGGTTCCAGCCTCAGGGGTTTGGGGTTTCCTGAGGATAGAACTGGGAATTTTTTTCTTTTTCGACTGAATGTCCTGTGGTTGATTGTAGGACCCTTCTTCTGGCTGCTGTTCAAGACTCCCCAGCTGGCGGCGCAGCCCAGCACGTACTTGGCGGTGGCAGAGGAACTGGAGAGTGTTTCTGGGAAGTACTTTGATGGACTCAGAGAGAAGGCTCCATCTCCTGAGGCGGAAGATGAGGAAGTAGCCCGGAGGCTTTGGGCTGAGAGTGCCCACTTGGTGGGCTTGGACATGGCTCATGGGTCCCCTGGGAGGGGACATTCCCTTCCCAGATAACCTTCAAATATCCAAATGGAGCTGCATCACCATGGCTGCTGGCCGCCATGCCCTCATCATCCTCTAGGGGCAGTGTTGGCACTGTTAGACTCTAAAGACCGTGACTGCTGGCCGCTATGCCCTCATCGTCCTCTAGGGGCAGTGTTGGCACTGTTAGACTCTAAAGACCATGACTGCTGGCCGCTATGCCCTCATCGTCCTCTAGGGGCAGTGTTGGCACTGTTAGACTCTAAAGACCATGGCTGCTGGCCGCCATGCCCTCATCATCCTCTAGGGGCAGTGTTGGCACTGTTAGACTCTAAAGACCATGACTGCTGGCTGCCATGCCCTCATCGTCCTCTAGGGGCAGTGTTGACACTGTTAGACTCTGAAGACCATGACTGCTGGCTGCCATGCCCTCATCGTCCTCTAGGGGCAGTGTTGGCACTGTTAGACTCTAAAGACCGTGACTGCTGGCCGCCATGCCCTCATCATCCTCTAGGGGCAGTGTTGGCACTGTTAGACTCTAAAGACCGTGACTGCTGGCCGCCATGCCCTCATTGTCCTCTAGGGGCAGTGTTGGCACTGTTAGACTCTCAAGACCATGACTGCTGGCCGCCATGCCCTCATCGTCCTCTAGGGGCAGTGTTGGCACTGTTAGACTCTAAAGACCATGGCTGCTGGCCGCCATGCCCTCATCGTCCTCTAGGGGCAGTGTTGGCACTGTTAGACTCTGAAGACCATGACTGCTGGCCGCCATGCCCTCATCGTCCTCTAGGGGCAGTGTTGGCACTGTTAGACTCTCAAGACCATGACTGCTGGCCGCCATGCCCTCATCGTCCTCTAGGGGCAGTGTTGGCGCTGTTAGACTCTAAAGACCATGGCTGCTGGCCGCCATGCCCTCATCGTCCTCTAGGGGCAGTGTTGGCGCTGTTAGACTCTAAAGACCATGACTGCTGGCCGCTATGCCCTCATCGTCCTCTAGGGGCAGTGTTGGCACTGTTAGACTCTAAAGACCATGACTGCTGGCCGCTATGCCCTCATCGTCCTCTAGGGGCAGTGTTGGCACTGTTAGACTCTGAAGACCATGACTGCTGGCCGCCATGCCCTCATCGTCCTCTAGGGGCAGTGTTGGCACTGTTAGACTCTGAAGACCATGACTGCTGGCCGCCATGCCCTCATTGTCCTCTAGGGGCAGTGTTGGCACTGTTAGACTCTGAAGACCATGACTGCTGGCCGCCATGCCCTCATCGTCCTCTAGGGGCAGTGTTGGCACTGTTAGACTCTCAAGACCATGACTGCTGGCCGCCATGCCCTCATCGTCCTCTAGGGGCAGTGTTGGCGCTGTTAGACTCTGAAGACCATGACTGCTGGCCGCCATGCCCTCATCGTCCTCTAGGGGCAGTGTTGGCACTGTTAGACTCTCAAGACCATGACTGCTGGCTGCCATGCCCTCATCGTCCTCTAGGGGCAGTGTTGGCGCTGTTAGACTCTCAAGACCATGACTGCTGGCTGCCATGCTCTCATTATCCTCTAGGGGCAGTGTTGGCGCTGTTAGACTCTCAAGACCATGGCTGCTGGCCGCCATGCTCTCATCTTCCTGTAGGTGGCAATGTTGGCCTTAGCTTTTATTGTTAGCCGGCCACATTAGTTGGACCACAGCTGAGCATTGGGGAGGAGGACAGGTATAATGTGCTCTATTGGTTACTGGGGAGCTGGTCTGTCAGGGGTCTCCCTTGGGAGTGGTTTTGGGCAGTGTCCAAAGACAGGGGTGGCTGTGGGGGTGGACTGATTGGTCTACTGTTAAAGAGCGGGTAATCAGACAAATACGGCCAGTCATAGTTCTTTGTGGGCCTTTGCAAACTTCTGATTCCTCTCTGAGACTTGGCTGTTGTTTCAAGAAAGCAACTTGGGGGAGGAACAGGGCTTATTTTAGCTTATAAGTTATTGTCCATTATGGAGGAGGGAAGCCGAGGCAGGAACTCAAGGCACGAGCTTGAAGCAGATACCAGTGGAGGTTTGCTCCCAGGCCTACGTTCAGATACCTTTCTTTTATTTTTACTATTATTTTTTACAGAGAGGTTCTTACTCTGTAACTGTGGCTTTCCTGGAACTTGCTATGTTTCAGTTCAAGACCAGGCTGGCCTTGAATTCACAGAGATCTGCCTGCTGGGATTAAAGACATGTGTCACCATGCCTGGGCCAGGTGCCAGCCCAGGCTGCCTGCCCAAGGATGGCACCACCCACAGTGGGCTTGTCCCTTTTACATCAGTTAGCAATCAAGACATTCCCCCAGGGCAACCTGATCCAAGCAGTTCTCCAGTCGAGGATCCGACCGTCTTCTAGGTGTGTCAAGTTGATAACCAAACAAACCAGGACAGCCCTCGATTGCAGACTGCAAAGGATAACTGCTACCTCAAGGGATGGTGTGGGCATTAAGCTCTTGCCCGGCTCAGTAAAGGGCTGCTGTGGCCCTCTTGTGTCCTGGGCCCTGGCTGAGGTGCTGGGGCTCGGTGGAGGCCCTGGCGTAGGCCTTGCTTTTGTTAGCTCTGAATTGCTCAGGATGGAATGGCGTGAAATGCTGCTGGCTGCTGCCGCTGAAGACCAGCATGACCTGGGATCATGATCTCTCCAGTACCTCAGACTCTCAAGCTTGTTGTTTGATTATAATAACTTGTTGAGTGTAGCGGCACAGATCCATAACACCAGCACGGAAGAGGTGGAGGGTCATGAGTTCAAGGTCATTCTCCGCCGGCCTGGGCTATACAAGGTCCTGTGAAAACAAGTCAAAACAATGACGTCTCCAAATGTAGCTGAGTCATAGATTTAAATAAAAACAAACCTTTGCTTAGTGTGTATGTGTGTGCATGTGCACAGGTATGCCTTTGTGTGTCTGCCTTCCATGATGGAGTTGAGGGGACAGCTTGTGGGAATCCGCTCGAGTCTTGTGAGTCCTGGGGATCCAACTCAGTTTGCCAGGCTTGGTGACAAGGACCTTTTCCGTCGGAACCATATTGCCATATGACTCTGAACCTGAGCCATGGGTTTTATTTTATCTGTTGTATGTGGAATTTATTCCACATGCAACTTGTGCATTTATTCTTTTTAAGAATCTAAGATATTCAGTTGTCACCAAGGCAGTGAGGCAAGCCGCTTCAGACTTTGTAGGGATGGAGGCACAGCTCACCACATGGCAGCGATCTCAGAGGTCGGGGAGTCCTAGGAAATGTCTGCTTCAGAAATGTGACACTCAGTGGGGACATAGAATCGATGGGGCCTCAGAAAGCTCAGTAGAGAGCCAGGAAGTGGTGGTGCACACCTTTAATCTCAGCACTTGGGAGGCAGAGGCAGGCAGATCTCTGAGTTCGAGGCCAGCCTGGTCTACCGAACTAGTTCCAGGACAGCCAAGACTACACAGAGAAGCCTGTCTCAGAACCTCCCCCCCCAAAAAAAAAAAAAAAGCTCAGTAGACCCCTGGGTACTTACAGGAGGACTGGCCTAGAATTGTCACTTGCTACGTGGCTGCAGAGCCCAGCCAGCCACCCTGCTCTGCCCGCACAGAGACACCAAGCAGCACCTTGATAAGCGGTGCAGAGCATACTGCAGCCACTAGAGGTCAGAACTGAAAGCTCTGACATCCACAAGCTGTACCTTGATAAATGGCGCAGAGCATACTGCAGCCACTAGAGGTCAGAATTGGAAGCTCTTTGACATCCACCCTGAAAGCACCACCTGTTCTACAGCACTGTTCCTAGTAGGGTATATTTTGCAACCAAATCATATATATCAAGGTGCTCTTGGATGCACAACATGGATAGCATTCATCTATTTATTTGTCCATTTAGTTATTTATATTTCATGCATATCTGTTTACCATGTGCATACAGTGCCTGAGAAGGGCAGACGAGGACTCCAGATCCCCTGGAACTGGAGTTACAGATGATTGTGAGCTTTCATGTGGGTGTTGGGAATTGAACCCAGGTCCTCTGGAGGAGCAAGCCGGTGCTCTTAACTGCTGAGCCATCTCCATCTTTAGAGCTGGGATCCTTGGGCTGTTACATTCTCCTGCTTTCCTCTTCCCATTTAATGACCCCCGTGGTCATATAAGCCCATCAGGAAAATCCAAAACAATGCTTCACTGTTTTAAAATCAGTAAGGTAGACTTAACTCTGTCTGTTATCTGGTCCTGTTTGCAGGTAAAATAAAGTAGTCCTGCGTTCTGGTGTCCCGGGTTCTGGTGATGGGATCTAGCTACGTTGGGCAAGGCTGTTGCTCTGCTAACTATATTCCCCTTCATAAAATCTGGCTCTTAAGATTTTCCAACGACTCCCACATATTTCTCATATATTCTGTTCTTCTTAAATTAGTCTGGATCAACCTCACTTTTTTTTCTTTTCTTTTTCGAGACAGGATTTCTCTGTGTAGTTTTGGTGCTATCCTGGATCTCGCTCTGTAGCCCAGGCTGGCCTCGAACTCACAGAGATCCGCCTGGCTCTGCCTCCTGAGTGCTGGGATTAAAGGTGTGCGCCATCACCACCTGGCTTTTTTTCTTTTTTGATAGTTTCATTATGTAGTTTAGGCTAAACTTGAACCCTAGATCCTCTTGTCTCAGCCTCTTGAGCCCAGAGATTATACCACACCCTGCCAACTCCCAATGTTTACAACCAAATAAACGGAAATATACATTTCTGTCACTAATTCGTCATTGTCCTTGTGTTTTATTTGGCGTGTGCACTTCTCTTGCTGTGATAAAATTCTCTTGCTGGGACAAAGCCACTTAAGGAAGGAAGGAAGGGTCTAGTCTGGATGGCAGCTCCAGGGAGCGATCCATCATGTTGGGGAAGGCATGATGGCAGGAGCTCGGGGCAGCTCATCCACACTGCCTCTTCAGGCGGGAAACGGAGGAAGGAATGCTGGGGCTTAGCTCCCTTTCGACTTTTTTTCTTTTGGTACATTATTTACCCGCGTGCATGTGTGTGTGCGTGCGTGTGTGTGTTGTGCAGGCATCATGGTGTACTTGTGGAAGCCAGAGGAAAACTTGTGGGATGTTTGGTGACAAGCTCTCTTCTTACTCAATACGCTCCCTTGCCAGCTCCCTTCTTTACTACTATTGTTAGTGTATGGTGGTGGTGGCGGATGAATGCCACACCGTGCGTGTCGGTGAGAGAACAACTTCCATGGAACCAGTTCTTTCCTGCCACCGCTACATGGGTTCTGGGGATCGAACTCCGGTTGTCAGGCTTTTGTGGCAAGGGCCTTTCCCCGCTGAGCCCTCTCGCCAGCCTCCGTGTTCTTTTTATTCAGTCTTGGGCCCCAACCCATAGTGCAGCGCTGCCCACACTCACTGTTGGTCCTCCCATTGCAGTGCCCTCAACCTAGAAACCCCCGCACAGACGTGTCCAGAGGTTTGTCTCTTAGGTGACACTAGATACCGCCAAGTTGGCAATATGAACCACCGCAGGGTGTCTTCTTGGGAGACGGAATTCATCCTGAAGGAGTCAAAAGTCTAAATGTATGTGGAGCCCAGGCTACCAAGGTGGCTGATCAATGAGGATGTTTTTCTTTTTCTTTTTTTTAATTATTAAATTTTTTTTAATTCATTTTATATACCAACCACAGATTCCCCCCTCCTCCCTCTTCCTGCCCCCTAGCCTTTCCCCCCAACCCACACCCCCCATTCCCACCTCCTCCAAGGCAAGGTCTCCCATGGGGAGTCAGCAGAGCCTGGTAGATTCAGGTGAGGCAGGTCCAAGCCCCTCCCCCCTGCACCAAGGCTGCACAAGGTATCCCACCATAGGCACTAGGTTCCAAAAAGCTAGCTCATGCACCAGGGACAGATCCTGATCCCCCTGCCTGGGACCCCCTAAACAGTTCAAGCCAAACAACTGTCTTGAGTATCCAAAGAGCCTGGTCCAGTTCCATGAGGGCTCCACAGCTATTGGTCCACAGTTCATGTATTTCCACTGGTTCGGCTGGTCGTCTCTGTACATTTTCAATGGGGATGTTTTTCATGTTAGGGGGATTTGTCTTTTTTTTTTTTTTTAAAGATTTATTTATTTATTATGTATACAGCGTTCTGCCTGCATGTATGTCTGCAGGCCAGAAGTGGGCACCAGATCTCATTATAGATGGTTGTGAGCCACCATGTGGTTGCTGGGGATTGAACTCAGGACCTCTGGAAGAGCAATCAGTGCTCTTATCCACTGAGCCATCTCTCCAACCGGATTTGTCTTTTTTTACAGATGGCTGTGGCTGCTTCTATCCACAAACCCTCATGACCAACATCTACTTCCCCTTCAAAATCAAGACACCTCAAGTACCACAAATGCTACACCGCCCTAGTCCTGAGGGCTGAAATGGCTCAAAAACATCAGGATCCCAAGATATATGAAAGATGACAAAATCGACTTGAAAAAACAGCCCAGAGAAGAATTTGGCGGCAGATAATTAAGTCAACTGAAGAAGCTGGACATGGCAGTATATACCTGTAATCCTAGCCTTGGGGAGTCTGAGATGGGAGGATCTTGAATTTGAGTCTAGTTTGGACTACAATAGTGAGATTCTGTCTCAAAAACTGAAAGTCAAACCACAATGAATAAAGATAAAAATAAAAAAAATTAGACCAGAGAAACAGTCACAAAAATTTGCTTTGTGTGGTGGAAGAAATTGAACTTGAGATGGATTGTATGTACTGCTCTTTGGAGCTGGAGAATTTTGTCCTGTTGCCTTTGGTGACCCACTGTAATAGAATGTTGAAAGGGTACCAACTGGGCTGATACTTATTTTTTGAGACAGGGTCTTGTTGCCCAGGCTGGCCTCAAACTTACTCAAGTAGCAGAGGATGACCTTCAGCTATGGCTCCTCCTGCCTCCACCACCTGAGTGGTGCGATTACAGGTTTTCAAACACTGTAGGGCTGACACACAATGGATCTGTACCCATACGGCCTCATCAATTGTGAGAACATCAAAACACAGTGGGAGCGAGTGGGTAAATAGCTCTTTTCCTGATGTATCCAGCGTCTTCCTCCATTGGATCCCTTCTCAGGTCTTCCTGGGCACTGCAGGATCTAGCAACTGAGGAGTTAACTCCCAGCAGCACCAGGCAAACTGATCTAGTCCTTGGGTCATCATCTCCTTGGACAGGGCAGGGCCCTCCTCATGTGGACAGTAGAATGTTGGAAATCACCCTAGGCTTAAGTAGCAAGGAACTTTCTTTAAGGTAGTAGAAGTTCAGCTGTGGGGCAGACACTGGTTCTGTGATATCTTCGAGACTCTCCCTGTCTGTTTGTCCATTGGCAAGGTCAGCTTCATCCCAGGTGGGTCTCTGTGGTCAGTTGGATGGTGGCTCCTGAAGAGTATGGCCATAATTCTGGTGCCCATGAACAATGCAGTCTAGTAGAAAAGGATGTTGATATCAATCTCCTTGGCTTATCTAAGCATCATGACACATGCCTGTAATCATTTGAATTTCAGCTTCTTGGAGATAGGGCTAGAATCTGGGTCTTGAACAAATGAAGACAAACAAGGGAATTTCCTGGACCACTCTAGCCCTTTTGAGCAGTAGTTCCTGGAGTATGGTCAACATATCATCATCACCATTGCTTTCATCATGACCATCATCACCACTGTCATCATTGGCACCATGATTGTCATCCTCACCATCATCATCACCGCCATCACCACAGCCATCACACCATTTCTACCATAATCACCATGACGGCCACCATCATCACTACCAATACCATCACATCCATCATTATCATCATTGGGAGCTTGTAATACATGAAAGTGCTTTTTATAAGCCCCAAAGAATTGGAAGCAGAAGCTCACTCAGTCACTCAAATGCACATACATTTGTGGGCATCAAGGCAAGGTTCTACGAAGTAGAAACAACTTCCGTATCCATCACTGAATAAAGGGACAAATAAGTCTAGATGATGATGCACTTTACGGCCATAAAAAGGAATGAAGCATTGACATGTGCTCAAATATAGATGAGTGTTGTTGGTTGTTTTTACTCTTTGGGGGGGCCACCACCCAGCTCCTGAATAAATCACACATGAAGTCTTATTATTACTTATGAATGCCTGACTTTAGCTTGGCTTATTTCTACCCAGCTTTCCTTAACTTAAATTATCCCATCTACCTTTTGCCTCTGGGCTTTTTCCTTTTCTTACTTCTGTATATCTTACTTTCACTCTTACTCTGTGGCTGGCTGGGTGGCTGGGTGGCTGTGTGGCTGGGTGGCTGGCCCCTAGTGTCCTCCTCTCCTTGTTCTCTTGCTTCTATTTCCTCTCAGATTTCTCTTCCCATTTATTTTTTCTGCCTTCTGGACCCGTCTATCCTTTCTCTTGCCTTGCTGTTGGCCATTCAGCTCTTTATTAGACCAATCAGGTGTTTTAGACAGGCAGAGTAACGCAGCTTCACAGAGTTAAGCAAATGCAATGTAAAAGAATGCAACACATCTTTGCATCATTAACACAAATGTTCCACAGCATAAACAGATGTAACACATCTTAAAATAATATTCCACAACAGATGAACCTTGAAGTGAAGGAAGGCGGATTCAAGATGACACGTGTGATTCCATTCATAGGAACACCCGGAGTAGACACATCACAGAGACAGGAAGTGGATAGTGGCTGACAGTGACCACTTTGTGGGCTCTGGGTTTCCTTTTTGGTTGATGAAAATAATTGGACTGCAAAAGGTGGTGTTTGTAGACTGTCATGGCTATAGTAAACACGACTGAACTATTTCCTTTTAAATTTTCAATTTTTCCCTCTTCCCTTTACTTCCTCTCTCCTCACTTTTAATTTTTTTAACCCTTCTCACTCTCCAACTCTTTCCTCTTTATCTCAGAGGCAGAGTCTTTCATATGTAGCTCAAGCTGTCCGCAAACTCATGGTCTTTTTGACTCAGCCCTGTAAATGCTGAGACCAGAGGTGTGAGCCTCAGTGACTGGTGTTAAAATGGCTATTCTTTAAAAATGGCTATTATTATTTTGATTTGATAGTACTGGGGATTGAAAACTTAAACATCAATTAAAATTTCTACAAGTTTTATTTATTTTTTATTTTATTTTTATTTTTATTTTTTTTTTTGAGACAGAGTTTCTCTGTGTAGACTTGGCTGTCCTGGAACTCCCTCTGTAGACCAGGCTGGCCTCAAACTCAGAGATCCACCTGCCTTTGCCCCCTGAGTGCTGGGATTAAAGGTGTGCACCATCACACTGGGCTCAATTTTTAATTTTTTTAAAGTAAATTTATTATTATTATTATTATTATTATTATATGTGTGTGTGTGTGTGTGTGTGTGTGTGTGTGTGTGTGTGTGTGTGTGTGTGTCCATCCCAATGACTTAAATAGGACTGCTTGAATGGACATAGCTGGGGGCATCATTTACTGAGGCATGGGCAATTTGCCAGTGGCTACACCAGTAAAGAGAGGGACTTCTCTTTCCCCAGCAACTATGACAACGGTTTCTTAGGGAGAGATGGGGCCTCGTGAGTACTTCTGCCAAGCAATTAATCTTACGCTCTTGGAATTTCACCTAAAGGGAAAGGAAGGAGAGTAGCGGGCTAAGCGTGGTTGGTGCTTTTCTAGGAAAGCCAAGTTTAGTTCCCAGCACCCACAAAAGACAGCTCACAGCTGCCTGTAACTCTAGCTTCCAGGGGATCCAGCGTCCTCTTCTGGCCTTCACAGGTACTGCAGTCTTGTCCACAATCCCACACAAAGAAACACACCTACACATATAACTAATAATAACTCTTTACAAACAAAAGAGAAAGAGATAGAATGATTTTACCCCTCCAGACCTAGACCAGACTCTGGGAGCATCCCCAGATATTTGTAGTTTAATAGGATCCCTTTCAGGAGCACCTCAGCCTGGATGGGGGAGGAAAAACTCTGCTCTCTTTCATGGGGGAAGAGAAGAATGCCCTTCCAGTCCAAGCTTTTAGAAACTTTACTCCTGTATGGAGTTGTGACGATCGGTTTCTTTGTTTTTCCAGGTGTCTACGAGGACAAAACCATTCTCTCTGCCCAGCCAAATGCTGTGGTCCCTTTAGGAGAAAATATGACCCTTTATTGTCACTTGCCAAACACCTGTGACACATTTCTTCTGCCTAAAAAAGAAAACGTAACCTTATTTGTAACATGAATCTTAGAGGGTCTTATTAATAAAAAACTCAGGAGCCAGATATTGGGGTGAACGCTGAAAGATCAGAGAAGCAGAACAAGCCACAGCTGACCTCACCTCATCAACTCCTCAGCTGATCCTGTTTCCTCAAACTGGAAGCCTCTGAGTCCTCATCTAAATGGATCTCAGCTGAACTGCTGCTAAAAGCCTAAAAGTTTAAAAAGCTTCTAGTTTCTATTCTTCATGCCTTATATACCCTTCTGCTTCCTGCCATCACCTTCTGGGATTAAAGGCGCGTGTCTTTCTCAAGCAAAGACATGAGATCTCAAGTGCTGGGATTAAAGGTGTGTGCCACCATTTTCTGCCCTCTATGTCTATCTAGTGGCTGTTCTGTTCTCTGACCCCAGGTAAGTTTATTAGGGTGCATATTGGGGAACACAATGTCACCACACTTATTTCCAAACTTTAAAGAAGGCCAGAAAGACTTCAGTATATCCTTTGTCTCTCAGGCCCACGTGGGGACCTACAGATGCTTTGGTTCTGTCAATAGTTCAAGTGGTCGGATCCCAGTGACCTCCTGGAGGTGATTGTTGCAGGTGAGGAAGCTGTGGTCCTTTTCAACTTGAGGAGTTCATGTGACTACTTGTTGGGCAATACTGAGGTGTGTTGAGTGCAGGCTTTATTAGTGTTCTGCTGTGGTGAGGCCAAAGGATTGGGGATGATTGACAAGGAGAGACAGGTATTAGGGAGGGGAGCCATGCCACACCATGCAGAGCCACTTGGAGAAGTCGGGCTGGCCATACAGTGCTGAAGGAGGAAAGAGAAAGGGAGAGAGAGAGAGGAGAGAGAGAAGAGAGAGGGGAGAGGAGAGAGAGGCTGGGCAGCATCCTTTATCGTGGTTTGATGGGAAAGGCAGGAAAAAGAGGGTTCATATAGATTTATTTGAATAATTTTAGCATCTCTGGTGTGCACAGACCATCTTAGTTCTCCGTAGCCTGACCCTGAGGTCATTAGGGTAGAGAAACACAGAGACCTGGAGTGGAATGCCAGGGGAGTGGAGGCGTGTGAGAATGTGGACTCTGGCTTGGTAGGTTTGGGCTTGAATAGTATAATGGTTGCTCCATCTATGATTCAGCTAGCTCCAAGAGGGGAAGTCTCCAGAGGGCTAGTTAGGATTCAATATTCCTGAATGATAGGGACATAGAAAACAACAAAAAAGTTAATTCCCGAGGTCACAGAAGTGACTTCCAGGGCCCCCAGTGAGCGTGAGAGGGAGATCTCAGGCTCTGAGTTTACACCCTCACAGAACACGCAGCTTGGGACCATCTGAACTGGTTCCCTAGGTGAGGTGGGTTTTGAAGGATGGGTAGAAGTTTGTGGCCAGGGGGACGAATGGGGGATCTTCAGGTCCACACTACAGAAACAGCAAGCAAAGAGAAGGCTGAGAGGAGTATTAACAGTGGCTGAGCAACCACATTGCTGGGCTTTCGGAGGAAACGGGAAGTGGGAGGGCTTTGTGGAGTGAGTTTATCTGGGTCAGGAAGTTACTGGTCATCAATTTAGCCTGCCATCAGGCAGGAGGGTGGCTCATGGGGTGAAAGATAACAGCACTAGGAAGCTGTCAGGAGTCTGCCGTTGGGCTGGCATTAACGTCTACAGCTGGGCACTTTCTCTTAGGTAGAGTGTGTTAGCAGTTTTTCAGCTCTGGGGCTGGGGTGGGGGTGGGCATGATTTGCTGCACAGGGGTCAGATACCCGTATCTAGGGACGTGTTGGTTGTCATGAAGGGGGGGAGGTAGTGTTTAACTGCTCATGGTGAAGTCCTAGGACACTACCAGTATTGTAAAAGGCACAGGATAATGGGCTGGTCCTCACTGTCTTGTTTGATATATTTTCTTTGTTTGATATTTTTAATAGTCATCAAATAGGACTTTGAAAAGCATGATTCACAATGAGCTTTTCTTGCATACATCTTTATTACTGGGATGAGCATCCATGAGTATAACAGTGTAGGAACTTGCTTCTCCTTGGAGCTCAAGGGGGAACACTTAGTGTGACCCATATTCAGTACTCACATGCTTTTCCCTTTAGGTCACTTAATAACATCTGTAGGGACTCTATTATACATAGTTGATTCAGACCAGTGGGTCATTCTTCAGTGACAGGGTCCTGACTGTGAGGACCAGGAGATCAGAAGATAACGAGGATAGAAGGTAGAGAAGACAAGAAAGTTTGGGATCAGAAGGTCTTGCACAAGCTATGTCTTATGCCAAGGAAGCTTATTAAGAAGTACAGCATCTTATATTTCAGGGGAGAAGTTGGACAGAGTCAGCAGAAACTATTATACAATGGGATGAAGTCAGCAGGAGGCTAACCAAGCAATGTTTTACAAAAGGAACACAGGATATCTCAAGAACATTATAGCCTGAGCACATAGTGGCCTTGTGATGGATAACTCCATGCCTGATAACTTCTCTTCAGGGGGAAAAGCCAAGTTGCCAGGAACCAAAATCTTAATTCCTTTGAAGCCTATCCCCAACCCAGACTGGCCTTTTCAAGCCCATACCTAGACAACGACATATAACTAGGTTCCTCTGAGAAGCCTTGGATTGGCCTGGCTCTCAACACAGAGTTTTGGGTGCCCTTGACTTCATAAGCTGGTCATCTTGTGGGTCATTGTCCTCTGTGTCTTACTCTTTTCATGTCATATCATATTGGCAAGATTTGTCTTGACTGAGTGATTAATTCTCATTGTATGTGTATATATGTGTTTGCATATATATGCATATTATACATATGTATATGCATATGAACTGAGCCATCTTCTCATTCTCAACATAGAGATTTTAATGAGTGCTTATTCTACTGAGGAAGGAGAGAACAAATTGAACCAAAAATAGAATAGAGGATATGTTGTCACGTGGTGGTCAGTGTTACTGAAGAAAAACAGGGTGAGGTTATGAAGTAGAGAGGGATGGTGGTACATTATTGATGCAATGGGAAGGAAAGCCCTCTACCAAGAGGGTAGTTGTGGTGTTGTTTTGTTTGTGCTCTAACAAATAAAGCTTGCCAGGAGATCAGAGTGTGGAGCTAGCCACTAGTTAACCATAGAAGCCAGGCAGTGGTGGCACACATCTTTAATCCCAGCACATGGGATCTCATGCCTTTGATCCTGGTACTTGGGAGGCACATGCCTTTAATCCCAGCACTAGGGAGGTGGAGACAGGAAGTGATATGGTTGGGTGGAGAGAGGAATATAAGGCAGGAGGAGACAGGAGCTCAGCCCCCTTTCAGGCTGAGGAGTTGGTGAGGTAAGAGGTGGCTGTGGCTTGCTCCTTTGTCTCTCTGATCTTTCAGCAAGCTTTATTTGTTAGAGCACAAACAAAATATCGCCACAGGCAGTCACTGAGCTATGGAGTGTGTTGGGGGGAAAAGCACACCATGACATGAGAACAGAGCATGCAAAAGTCTGGAGGGTAGACATGTTTGCTGTATTCAGCAAAGAACAAGGATTGCAGTAGGTGGAGCAGAGTGTGCATGCGGTAGATTGTAGATCTCACAGCAGAGGAATGGCAGTCTTAGGATGACCGTTTTGAAAACGCCTTTCCAGAGAGTGTGTAGGGGCTAAGTGTAGTGAGAGGTTGCATCCTTTTCACTTACCTTGGCTTTCTCCTTCTCTAGGAGTGTACGAAAAGCCACAGCTTCCAGCTCTGATCACCTGCTCTGTGACATCCATAAGAAGACCATCCTGCAATGTCAATCAGAGATCGGATGTGATATGTTTTTTCTGTCCCAGGAGGCCAACACAAACTTTACCCAATGTCTGGAATCCTACTACAGACTCAGGCTCTTTCAGGCCAACCTTACCAGGGGCTCTGAGTGGAAGGCCCTCAGGAACACCTACAAATGCTGCAGCCCCTAAGCTCCTTTCCTTTCCTATGGTCAGACCCTAGAGAGCCCCTGACATTACAAGAAGAAAGGTGAGGAGTGAAGATGTTCTTTGTAGGATCTTGGACGCCCCATCTATCATCTTACATCCATCAGTGTCCCTGGTGATGAAGGGATGACCCAGATTCTATGGGGACAGAGAAAGAAGTACAATGTGGGGTGCATATCAAGGGATATCAGTCCTTCATGGTGGGAAGAGATTACTATGTTCATGAGTCAAGACAAGACCTTCAAGCCCTACTCTAGTAGCCTGTCTGTCAGCTAGGACCTGTCTGTCAGCATCTTAAGAGTTCTACAACCTCTCACACAAGCACACCAGTTGGGAACCAAGTGTTCAAATGTATGAGCCTATGCTGGGCATATCACATTCAGACCATAATAGGGACAGTCTTAGTTAGATCTGTCAGCTTAACACAGCTTAGCATTATCCAAGAAACGAATTCTAATAGAAGGGTTGCCCGGATCAGGTCAGCCTATAGGCATGTCTGTGAGGGATTGTCTTGATTAATTGATGTGGAAGGATTCAGCCCACTATGGGTGGTACCATTCCCTGGACAGGGGCTCTTGGGATGTATAATAAATCTGAATAAGCATGAGCTCACAAGCCAGCAAGCATAATTTCTTGTTCCCTTTAGTGATGGACTACAATGTGGAAGTGTAAGCCAAGCAAACCATTTCCTTCCCAACTTGCTTTTGGTTATGATGTTTCATTGCAGCAATAGAAACCTTAACTAAGGCAGTCTAGCTTCTTCCCAGGAGTTCTCTTTCATAGAGACTGTATTTGATGTCACTGAACTGGAAACTTGTGCGTTATATTCACCTCACCATAAATTACATGAAAGAGGAAGCGTTGATACACATCTCATGTGAAGAGCACTTTGCTGCTCATTCAGAAAACCTGAATTCAGTTCTAGGCACTCATAACTGCCTGTTGCTCCAGATACCTTCTTCTAGTTTCTGCTCAACATACACACAAAATAAAAAGAACACTAAAGAGCTCTCTTAGGGAAATTTAAATATACAGTATAGTATTGTCAGCTCTTTGGACTTGGCTGGGTAGTTAGATGGCCACAGGAATGTCTCTGCATTGCATCTGTGTACTACAGAAGTGTTTGTCCTCTGCACCTTCCCTGGTCCTCTCTCTCATCCTCCACATTTTCAGATATGGTGTCTTCCTGCGCTCTACCCAGAATAGTCTGTGTGGTGGATTCCACATTTGCCTTCCATGCTGACCAGCTGCATCTCATTATAGCGTCCTCCGTAAGTTTCCTACATCAAATATACAGACACCAGGGGGCAGCATCACATGTGAGCATGTCTTTGTGGCTGAAAGTCAGAAGAGGAAGTGTAAGAGAGGAACTTCTGGTCATCCCTAGAAATGTATTGGCGAACTGAGAGGGCAGAGCCAGGTCTCACGCAAAGAGAAGCTCCTTCTTGTTTTGCAATGGATGTCACCATCTTTATGGGGGTTCTGGACTCCAGTCTGCTCCATCCCATGGGTGTGTCCCCTGCACAGACTGTGTCACCCATTCTCGGCGCTGTGTGTGTGTGTGTGTGTGTGTGTGTGTGTGTGTGTGTGTGTGTGTGTGTGTAGATCTGGCATGATGAACCGCCACAGCCCCTATGGTTAATCTGGTGTTTGGACTTGGTAAGTGCTACAGGGGGCCATCATTATTAGACAGAAGGGTAATGAATATAAACACCCAGATTCATAAGCTGGGCTTCTCCCAGGATGTTCTTTCATTGTGAAGTCTTGTTAGGTGGCTGTGTAGGTATCATTCCTGGCACCTGCCTCTCTTTCTGAACCTAATCGCTGGCCCTGAGTTCTGCGGTTGGGGTCAGTGTATTACAGAATGGACACTTCTCACTAGGTCCTTTTCTATTTCAGTGTTTTTTCAGAAGCAGAGGATCTGGGCACACTGGTAAGTCTCTTCCATTTTAGCCCTGGGAGGTCTGAGTTTGGCTGAGATTAGCATGTGGGGAGTGTGATTCTGAAATGAGATCACACCCACTTCCCATTTTCTCCTTGCTATTGTAGCCATCATTAAGCTAGGGATTATCCACAGTGTGTTAATGCCAACAGGACAGCTGACTCAGAAGGACATTGCAACCATCAACACAGAGGATGGGGACACTTACATACATTTCTTCCTGAGGACATGGACAAGGTTTTGGATTGACTTTCTTTTTTTCCCATCTGTTTTCACCTGGGCTGTCTTACTGGGCTCCTTGACCATACATCATCCATGAGTCAGAACTGAGGTAAATGCAGTCCCAAGCTTTTACTCATGTTACTTCATCCTGTAAACTATGTTTTGCCTCTGAACCCAGTCCCTTCTCCTTGAATGGAGAAGTAGTAGGGTGTTGGTTGGTGGGGTCAGAACACATGTAAAGGAAAAAGAAGTCCTTGGCTCCTCTGGATACTGTCATACACAGTTTATAATTGATTGAAAATATTAGTGGTAATTCTATTTTTAACCTTTAAGGTATCTCCACACTGATTTATATATTGCTGGCACAAGTTTACATTGCCATGAGAGGTAAATAAAGGCCATTCCCCAGCCATCATTACCAACATTATTTTGTCTTTTTTTTTTTTTTTTTTGATGATAGTCATTCTGACCAGGTTGAGGTGGAAACTCCAAGCAGTTTGAATTTTCATTTCCCTGATGGCTACCTCCTCCTATAGTGCACTGGCATGTGGCCTGTGTGTGTTCACTCTTGTGACACCAGTAGACCGAGCAGAGCCCAGCAGATAGAGTGTGGCCAGCCATTCCCAACTTTGAGGATGGACTCACACTTTATCTCAAGATGTTGGCCGCTGCTCTGTCCCAGTCACTGTGGCCACGAAGGACTACTTACCATCATTTACTCCTTTCCCAGAGAAGCTAAACAGAGTTTTCTATGTGGATCATTCCACTTTTTCAATGCTGGCCACGAACTCCACTAATTTCTGAGGAACTGAGCACCCCATATCAGAGAGCCATAGGTTTCCTTCTGACCCTTCCCACCTCATCTGGGATCCTCTGCTCCAGCTGCTCACTTTAGCAAGGTGCCCTCCCCACACCTGTGAGCATGTGTCTCACCACCCATTATACCCAATTACAAGGGGCTGCTAAGAAAAGTGTGTATTCTTAGTTTTTTAAAAAAAGATTTTATATTTTATTTCATATGAATGTTTTGCTTGCATGTGTGTCTGTGCACCAAATGCATACTTGGTGCCCGAAGAGGCTGGAAGACAGCATCAGATCCCCTGGAACTGGAGTTATGGGTGGTTGGGAGCCACATTGTAGGTGCTGGGAATGGAACCTGGGTCCTCTGCAAGAACAAGTGATCTTAACCGCTGAGTCATTTCTCCAGCCCTTAGTCTGTATCTCTATTGGGGGAGTTGAGACCATTAATATTAAGAGTTATTTTTAAAAGAAAGGTATTAATTCCAGTAATTTTGTTGATTTTGAAGTGTCTTCTTAGATCTTCTTTGACTAGCTAGTCTGGCATTGTTTATTTATTGCTTGTGCCCTCTTGAGGGTATTCATTCATTTCTTCAGACAGAAGTATTTTCCCCAGTTTTATCTGTAAGACTGTCTTAGTGATCACACCTAATGTTGGTATCGTGGAAATATTTTATTTCTCCATTATTATTATTATTATTATTACTATTACTAATTTTGTTTTTTGTGAGACATGGTCTCACTATGTGGTCCTGGCTGACCTGGAACTCACTATGTAGACCAGGCTGGCCTCAAACTCATAGAGATGGGCCTGCCTTTGCCTCCCAAGAGCTGAGAATGAAGGCGTGCACTACCACACCTGAATCTCTTTTAATTTTAATGGATAGCTTTTTAGGGTTGACAGTTGTGGTCTTTCAGAACTTGGAATACACATTTCTGGACCTCTTGGGTTTTAAATGTTTCTGTCAAAAAATTAGATGTTATTCTAATGGATAATGCCTTTATAAGTGACTTAACTTTTCTCCCTTGTGGGTTTTGATAATATTTATTTTTTTATTTCTTGTTTTTTTAAGGTTTTAAGTGTAGGATGTCATGAAGAGTTTATTTTTTGGGCTTGTGTATTTGGTGTTTTGTGGGCCTCTTGTATCTTCATGGTATCTATTTATCCAGGTTTGGGAAATTTTCTTTATGTTTTATTGAAAATATTCTCTGTGTGTTTGCCATGGTATTCTTCTATGCTCATAACTATAGGTTAGGTCTTTTCATGGTGTCCCCAGACTCTCTCATGTTCTGTTTATATTTTTAAAAATTGTCTCATTGGGCTGGAGAGATGGCTCAGTGATTTAGAGCACTGGCTGCTATTGCAAAGGACCCAGGTTCGATTCCCAGAACCCACATGGTAGCTCACAACCATTTGTAAATTCTAGTTCCAGACAATCTAACACCCTCTTCTGTTTTCTGAGGGCACCAGACATTCACCTGGTGTACACCCACACATGCAGGCAAAGCATTCATATACAGAAAATAAAATAAATAAATCTAAGAAAACAAAAAAAATCTCATCAATCTGTACTGAATGATCCAGTTTCTATGTTTTTCTTCAGCTTCTGACCCTCTTTTTTTGACTTGATCCATTCTATTGGCTAGGTTTTACACTGAGCTTTTTTTCTTTTCTTCTTAATACGTTTTATTTGTATGGATGTCTTGCCTGCATGTATGTTTGTGAACCACTTGCACTCTTGGAACCCATGGAGGCCAGAAGAAAGGCACTGGTTACCTGGAACTGGAGTTACAGATGGCTGTGAGCTACCTTGTGGGTGCTGGGAATTGAACCTGAGTCCTCTGGAAGAATAGTCAATGCTCTTTACTGTGGTGGCTAAAGAAACTCCATTTTATGCAAGGCATCCATCTTGGTATCCACTAGTAATCTGTCTCTGACTCCAGTCCCTGGAAGATAAGTTCTCAGTAACCCTGACTCAGTGACCCCCACCCCCATAAATGTACAGCTGTGACTATCCAGTTGTTATGATATGACTGCTTTTTTGGCTCCTGTAATTTGCTTACACAGAAACCCACAGACTGTTTTGAGTTTCCTTAACCACTTAACTTGGTGGAACAGACAAGCTTTTGCTTGCTTGCATAGATATTGAAGGTCTTCTTGTGGTTCTCTTCTTTATATCTATTCCTTGCCAGGCGGTGGTGGCGCCCGCCTTCAATCCCAGCACTTGGGAGGCAGAGGCAGGTGGATCTCTGTGAGCTCAAGGCCAGCCTGGTCTACAGAGTGAGCTCCAGGAGAGGCACCAAAACTACACAGAGAAACCCTGTCTCGAAAAAAGGAAAAAAAAAAACCAAACTATCCCTCCTTCACAGCATGCCTGAGATTTGACTTTAAGGTTGTTGTTCTTCTAGCAGCTAATCAATAAATCCTTTAATTATAATTGGATTGGGTCTATGGTCTTTTCCCAGGGGTCAGAGTATTTTCATTCTTCGACTGACTTCCTTATTTTATTTTATTTATTTTTTGTATTCTTTGAGTTGTTTGGCCATATTTATAATCTTCTTTTGAATTCTCTGTCTGGGAGTTCTTCCAGGTCATTTTTCACTAGGAACCATTATTATGGGATTTGCATGTTTTGGAGATGATATATTATTTTGATTTTTCTTGTTTGTATTTCTTCATTGGGATTTACACACCTGGAATTAATTCATTGGTTGAATGTTCTTCCTTCCTTCCTTCCTTCCTTCCTTCCTTCCTTCCTTCCTTTCTTTTTTCTTTTTCTTCCTTTCTTTTTGGTTTAAGCCATCTTTCTTCTTTCTGCAGAGGTGTTTACATGTTCAGGATGGGGCCAATACACAGCAAGGTTGTGACCTTGATTTCTTCTGCTTTTCTGGTATTTGAGAATACTTCTATCCAGAACTTCTCTCTCTGCTGATGTCTGGTACCCTCAGAGATTTGGTCAAGGAGCTTGGAACAAGTTTCACCTGGTTGTGTGGGTGGGTCCTATATCTCAAGATTAAACAGAGCATCTAGAGGGTCCCAGTCAGGCAGCTGATAGGACTCTGGGTTTCTGAAGGAGTTACAGTCTCACCAAATCCTGAAACTGGATTGGAGGTTTATGATAGCTGTGGGTCTATCTTGAAAATAGGATCCCTTATCTTCCATCTGTCTTACCATTTAGAAGCAGAATTTGCTTATTATCTTGCCAGTAGGGAGCTGCCCGGTTGAGGCAGTATTTGGCCTCTCTGTGTACCTCATCTTTGTCCTGCTCCCCCTGACCCGGCCCCGTATATTTCATTTACTTTGTGAGTTATCAAAGCCCTTCCTCTTTTTTTCTTTTGGAACAAAGTCTATTTCCCCCTAATTCTGACTGTCTTTTTTTTTTTTTTTAATTTATTTTAATTTATTTTGCAATACAATTCAGTTCTACATATCGGTCACGGATTCCCTTGTTCTCCCCCCCTCCCATCCCCCTCACCTTCCCCCCAACGCCCCCCCCCCCCCCATTCCCATCTCCTCCAGGGCAAAGCCTTCCCCACAGACTGAGGTCAACCTGGTAGACTCAGTCCAGGTAGGTCT